AGGCTGATGTCAGACAACTCGGTCTGATAATGGCTTACCGGTAGCCATAACTCTGCCATAGACGTGGAAATCATTTCCAGGTCGAATATTATCCTGACCTTTTGAGATATTCTTTGGCTCTGTACTCAGAACAAAAATCTACACGATTCTGTTCCCACTAAAAACGCAACGCACACGACATGTGAGAGAAAAAAAATAGAAAATTTGTTCAAATAGACTGGGCAGCAGGACAACAATCCCATGCTTCACACTTTACCAGCTTGAACGCTATAGCCCACAACGGGCCATACACGGGGAGCTTGGCATTTACGGTGGCCTGAAAAGGCAGTTTACCCCTGTAGGATTCCCTAATTACTGTACAAGCTTCTCCAGCTCACAGCTCACAAGTGCAGAAGTTATACAGAGCTTCTCCGACCTATGAATTTTGTTCAATATCCTAGAAATACATGGATACTTCCTGCTGGTGCATATACTCATGATCTCTGCGAATGATGGCGTGTGAAGAGGCGTGACATGGATCGCAGTCGGCATAGCCTTTCCCGCTCTCGTCGCGGACTCGGGATGATATCATTGGTGGAAAGGTAGTTTTGGTAGCGCTCCAAGCCCCATAACACGCCCTACCGTTTGCAGGATCATGGCTAATCCGCGGCTTTCTCACACATCGAGTTGAAAACCCTATGAAGAGGCTTAAAAGCTTGTCACACTCGGAACAGGGTACAGCATGGGGATGTGTCAAATGGCGGTGTGGGTACGACCCCCCCCCCTCGAAGAGGGTCCAGATACGACCCCCCCCCTCCTGCTCTAACTGACAACCAGATGCATGTTCACCACAAATGGCTTCCTGAAATGGAATCTGGATTCTCGAAAGGCGCACTCTGCTCTAAAATACAGGAAATAAAAGGCTGTTTCAGCCTCATGCAATATGAGGCTGAACAACAGCCTCGCATTACCTACAATTTTGTCTTAGGATTCAAAATAAAACTCCTCGTTCGATAACTATGTATGACATGCAACTTGTAACAAGAAACACAATTGAAATAGCGGCTAATGGTGATCATTGATAGGCTGAATTGGAAAAAAAATAGCCCCAAGGTGAGCGTGTCAGGGCCCAGATGTGCATTCAATGAATGGTGACGGGGAAATAATGAAAACATGCACGACACAACAAAGCGAAACATGGAAAATACAAAAAATGCAGAGCTAAATGAAAAAAGGATAACCAGGCCGGCAGTAAATCGTTCCATACTTGGCTATTATCGATCAGGCTGCAGGGCGCAAGGCTGCGACCGCTTTCTTTGGAAAAACGTCATTGGAGCGCGGTTGTTGGACTTGCCAACGTCCTGGGGTCTGTTCGGGGGTTATATCTTTTTTAGGTGCGGAGCTTTTGAGGAATGGTGAGCAGCATGCAACGGCAAAGTTTCTACTATTGTGTATTCTACCTAGCTGCAAACTGAACAATCCCCCGTTGGTGAAATATTCCGGATGGGTCACGGTTCGGCCAGGGGTAAATCGCGAGCTGGTTTCCATGATTCACACAAGGACTGCTTCGTTCAAACGCAATTTCATCAGGACTGAAGTCGTCTTGAAACCCCTCCATCTTTTCTCTTTCCAATAAGCTTTACAGTTTTTCTGAAGACCCACTAGTTCAGGAGATATTTTAGATGGGTCACAGATGCGCCACCCTCTGACCCACCCGAAAAATTGACTCCTTATGTGCCATTGTGAGGATACACCTTCGAAACTTCAGTGTGCCTTCAAAACACATATTTCCCTTCAAATGAGTGAAAGAGAAGCTCGGCTATCTCTGATCGATTTGGTCCGTGCGCCGTGCATTAGGCTCCTACGCAGAGGTGGTGGAAAGGTGTAAATTCTGATTTCAGGTGCTTTTATCCATGCAAGCAGATGTTTGTTTAGGGTTTGTAAAGGACAACACGCACGAATCTGTTTGAGACGTATTATTTAGTCATCTACGTACTTACGAGTTCATGCTATAAACTGACACTTATTTATTTATTTATTTATTCTTGCTATATTGCTAATAAATCTTTTATTATTTTGTATTCCTATTTACATCCGGGTCTTCTGAAGCTTTCCGTCCGTTCCATTACCCTTAGCAATGACACCTTTGTACTGTTTGATGCCTAGCGAGCCTACTTTTGCGATACTCCCCACGTCCCCCGCGGCCAAGTACGAACCCATTCTTGGGGATTTCCCATGAAAAGAGGGCTGTTAAACGTAGCATTTAAAGCTGTAAAGAATACACTCATAATAAACTTCATTTTTTTTAAACATCTTGACTTCCATAGCTCCACTCCCACTATCAACTGAAATGTCGAAGCTCGGCTCTGAGTGACCCTTGAGATTACGACCCCCCCTCTCCATCGGCCAAGTACGACCCCCCCCATGGGTTTCGCACAACGATGCTGTACCCTGGTCGTGAACCCATTACTGTTATTCCCAACGACTAAATTCAGTCAAAAAAGAAAATGAATGCCAAATCGAAGAAAACATCACAGCAATTGGAGCCAGCTTCATTTCTGACATCCTCAGAACATATCAGAGCATATGAAATATTTATTTTTTTGAAGAGCAAGACATCTTCAGTATGGTGTTTTTATTCTACCATACACTTCGCAGAGTTTCCATCGATGTGGTGATTTTCGGATCATTTAGACAGGCTTCAATGAAATCTGCTCGGGTGATTTTTCCATTTTTATTTTTGTCCAGCCTCTGCAATGGCACGCAAGTAATATACACATGAAAATATTAGGTTGTCGTTCTTATACACGTGTTTGATCCTCTCCTATTTCGTTCGCATGGATGTTGGTATTACGTCATCACGTGTGCGTGACGTGTACATTATACTCTTTCATTATACACTAGTTATCACTCACCGAGCTTGCATTTGCAGTACACAATGTCGCCCACAATTACACTTGTGACAGAACACCCTGCCCACTGCCTGGTAATTTGCTCCACGATTTCGCTAGGAATGCAAGGAGCCCATACCAAGCTGGTGGATACATACGGTGAGGACGTCATCTCTTACATGACATGCAAGAATTGGTTCGCCAAATTCAAGAAAGGAGACTTTTCTCTCGAAGATGCTCCGAGGTCGGGTCGGCCGAGGAGACCCTACCTCACCACCAGAGAAATGGCGACCATGCTTAGCTATGATCATTCGACGGTTGCACGTGGACTAGAAAAGCTCGGCAAGGTAGCAAAGCTTGGTCGATGGGTCCCACATGAACTGTCCGCTTATGACCTCTCGAGGAGGGTGACCACCTGCACTTCTCTCCTCACTTTCAAAAGAAAGGCTTCACGTCTCAACCGATATCACTGGAGATGAGAATGCGTCCTCTACGAAACCCGTTGCAGGAGCAGGAAGTGTCGATAAAGGAAACACAAGCCACCTCAAAGGCCGACCTTCACACCAAAATGGTTCCCCTGTTCTGTTGGTGGTCCAGAAGAGGCATGGAGTTCTGGGAGCTGCTGGAGAAGGGACAGACGATTGATGCTTCCACATACGTGACCCAGCTGCGGAAATTGAAAGATCACGTCGACCGTACTTGGAAGGAATGCGGAAATCTACTTCCACCATGACAACGCCACCTCACACTGCCAAAGGCGAATCCCAGCCGCTGCAGAAGTACGGATGGGCTGATCGGTCCCACCCTCCCTACAGCCCTGACCTCGCTCCTTCTGACCACTGGCTGTTCAGCCACCTGCAGGGCTATCTGGACGGAAATGTTCGAAACAAAGGATAGGCTCAGGAGCACTCGACGACTTCTTCAAGTCCGCCCCCCGTCGTTCTGGAAGGAAGGAATCGACAAGCTGCCTGAGCGCTGGCGTCGAGTAGTGGATGGTGATGATGCATACCTCTAATCTTCAGGTTGGTTCGCTATTGAGATATTTACGAAAAAGTCGTGTATAAGAACTTATGCGACAACCTATATCCTAAACAGGACAAGAAGATTTTGAAACTACAGTTTTGAAAAGAACTCACATTAACTGATTATATGACGCGCAGAGGGCTCGTTATATACTATGTCCTTGAAATAGTGAATTCCTACTAGCGCATACATAGCCCTGAAAAGACACGGTCTCGACTGACTTCAGTCTAGTGCAATAAATACGTTGCCAAAGATATCGATATGATTGTAGAAAATAAGACTCTCGATCTTCGTTTTGTGAAGCATATTCGAAGGGTATAGTCAGACTAGTGGAATGCAGTCTTATCCTGTTGTGGAGTCATACTTTTTGGCGCCGGCCTCCTTTCACGGCTGGAAACGAGCTGGCGCCGCGCCAAAAGGTACGTACGCAGGAACGCCCCCACTCGACGCCAGTGAAGCACTATACGTTCTCGGCTCAATACTACTGGCGTTAGAAATTGCTAGTATATACCGTCAACCATACAATGCGGGAAATTCAAAAAGTTGCAAGGGAACTTTCGAAAAAAAAACCAACCGGAGCACAAACCCAGTTGGGTACCGGTAATTGACCTGTGTTTCAATCCACAAATGCTGAGCCATGCCCAAAACTCCTAACTTTTCTGAAAATTTGATCCTTCACCTCCAGGGCGCGCGCTATCGACGCAACACGAGATCGGCTCCTACTCTCTCAGCTCAAAGAATTTTGGGCAGTAGCCTCATCGTAGAGTTACACAGTAATGTGCGCTTACACTCACGGAGACAAGTGCTTGCTTTCTATCTATGCGCGGAAGAAGCCAGAATGGCATGAAAACAGAATAAATACGAAGAAGAATCTGCGGTTAATTGCGACCATTCAGTAGTCCATGTTGCCTCTTATAAGAGTTGGCTATATGGAGTCGACCCAGCGGGCTGAGGTTGTAGAGAGCAATTAAAAATCTATTAACTTGGAATAAATTCTCCTTGGCCCTAACCACTATCTACTGAAGCCACACAAGGGAACTGGGCCTGGAAAAATAGCGCGAAAGAAGACCCAGGTTTTACAAAATTTTTTCTTACAAGCATTGGCGTACCTTAGGGCGTCACTGAAATAACCAAAACTTTTGCACCTTTGTGAACGGTGGTATTTGTGGTGTAACAAAGAGTGTATCCTACTCCAGTCGGCTTAGTCGTTTTTTACCTATCAGGTGAATCTCGGATTTTTGAATAGAAGGCGGAAGAAACGTGAAACTAATCGGACCTGCAAACGGTAACATGATCATCTTCGACGATATATCCTCGTCTATTACAATCGTAGAGATCGAATAACCAGTCCAAACGTTGCTCTAACGTTCCATTTGAAAACAGCGAAAGCATGATGGCAAATTCCTGAGAAGAATCAAAGATCATGTAGAGGGATCACTATTACAACAGTGTAACCTTACAATTACAACTGAAAAACAAGCGCCTAAATGTGTTTCGTGCCGAAGGGGGAAAGGAGGGAGGGGGAGGGAGGGCTGTACAGATTGGTTTTTTCAACACTGATTCTTTTCATGTTCTCTCAACTTTCACCAAGTTAAAGGCAAGTGCCACGATAAATCCTCAAGACCGGTAGGATTGACACTCTTAGCAGGACGAAATTCGGCGCAACTGACCAGGCGCTGCGAGCCACTCTTTCCATAATAGGTACCCTTATAGCGCCCTATCAAGCTACAACATACCGACCCGAACGCCCACCGTATCCGCCCGCCCACAAATGGACGACCGATGCTGATGCTCGTATCGCTTCATTTGCGAAGTACAGTATGAAGCGAAGGGATTGATATGAAGCGGCTGCGGTGCTGCATGGATATATGAGTACATACATGCAGCCGTATCTACCGTAGCGGTTATTGGCACGATGCCAACGGGAAACTCGTCCGAAATTGCTTCCCAAGTCGTGTAGAACAAAGTTTTTTTTGCAGTTTTTTACTGTTTCACCTCGCTTCCTTTGACATTTTTCTACTATATAGTAGCCCTGTTATCATTCTAGTAGTACCAAATCAGCGTGATTATTCCTTTCAATGAGTTTCAGTGGTACTGCAGTGATTTCAGATGAAGAGGTGGTGTTGGGAATAGCAAAACCCGTCCCTTTTGCAGACGGGTTTTGCTATTCCCAACACCATGCAAATAGCTCATGAACAGGTGTTACCATCGAATAAGTTAAGGGACATGGGCTCATCCATGCTATGAATTTTTCGTCACCCCGGGGGCCGGTCAGCTTTCGTAGGTTCATGGCACCCTGTCGCGTTGTAGGAAATTGCAAAATCCCGCTTTAAGAAGGAGCCCGTGCTCAGCCGTTTCGTATGTTTCCTTCCTTGCTCAAATAATCAGGTGCCTAATCGCAAAGACTGCTCCTCTTTCGGGGCTCCGTCCGGAACGACGCTGCGGGCACTTTAGGTCGCTGTTGCATAAGGCATATTGTACGATATACCATATTCAGCAATCAGAAAAAAATTCTCATGGCAAAGCA